AGGAGCAGATATCGTGGGTGGTGGCGCTGGCGGCGCTGGGCGCTCTGCCCGGCTGTTACATAGGGCAGGTGCTAAGCGAGCGGCTAGGTAGACGTCGCACAGTATGTGGTGCCGCGGTGCCTGGAATTGCAGGTGCGGTAGGTTCAAATTTTTCTATAAATTATGTGTGAATTATGATTGTACTCGTCTTGAATTAGTTTGATGGTAATCTATAGGTTTAGCGATTTAAGAAAAGAAGTCACAAAGTATAAGAATAATTTTAAAATTGCTAGTAAAAAAATAAATGATTTTTTTTGTAATATTTGTCCCAATTTATCCTATACTAGCTTGCGCCCGCGACTTCGTCCGCGTGGTATTAGAAAACATACGAACTATACAAATAACAAAAAGCAACGTATCCCTCGGGAACCGGTCATTTCTCGGGGATGAACCTTATCCCATGTGTACTCCAGATTTTGTTTTATATCTGTGCCAAATTTCAATAAGATATATTGAACCGTTGCAGAATGATCGAGTAAACATTAAAAAACTAAATTAATGAATTCCACGGGAACCGTAACTATTCCAGACTATGCTCTAAACCTGTGCCAAATTTCATCGATATCCGTTCAGCCGTTAAGGCTACAAACGCTAATAAACATCCATCCATCGTAACTTTCGCATTTATATATATCTTAGTTATCTTCTGATTTTCAGGCGATGATATTATTCACAAAAACAGCTGAAGTGATGTACGTTGCGAGAATATTGATGGGTATATCAAATGGGATAACTGCAGTCGTAAGTATGTTTATATTAATCACAGATATACAAGTTTAAATTTAATCTCATGAGAGTTTAATTATTAACATATATAACTAGCTGTTGCTGGCGATTATATTCGCATGAAATTAAAAAAAAAACATAGCCTATGTTACTCACTGATAATGCTTTATGATGGTGAAAAAAATGTTGAAATCGGTATTATTTCATACAAGAAAATAAAATCTTTCTTTTTTATAATATTTGGTACTATCTGTTGCGACTCCGTCCGCGTCAAATTAAAAAATATAGCCTATGTTAATCACAGATAAACTACCTTTCTAACTGTGAAGGAATTTTAAAAATCAGTCCAGGAATCGAATACATACAAAAATACGAATCTTTCCTCTTTATAATATTAGTATAATTAAGCTACGTTTCCTTTTAAGTTATTTTTCAAACATAAAATGTAATAATTAGTTTTACAAGATCTTGTTTTTTTTTTATCAAAGGGCGCATATCTGTAGTTTGCATATCATTTATCTGCGTATCTCGAGACGAGGTTATTTTTAGAGACAAACAAATAATT